AATCATTTAAATCTAAATGATTGCAATCGATTAGCATCGATTACAATTGATTGCAATCATTTAGATTTAAATGATTATAATCGATTATAATCGATATAAATCGATACCAATCACCCCTGCCGATAGTAATCGATATATACCTTATTTAAAAATTTCCTGATGTAACTGGTACGTTAACTGATACATTAACAGGTATGTTAACTGGGTCGTTAACTGAGTTGTTAAAAGGGTCGTTAACTGAGTTGTTAAAAGGGTTGTTAACTGGGTCATTAACTAGATCGTTAAGTGAGTTGTTAAAAAGATTGTTAACTAGGTCGTTAACTGAGTTGTTAACTAGATCGTTAACTAAGTCATTTACTAATAGTCTAAAAGATATAAAAACCCTGCCTTTTTTCCCAAGGCAGAGCAGACTGTCTCCTCCCCACTTTTAATTTTTTGTTAGTTACAACTTATTTTCTTGAAAGTGTAGTTATCACCTACCTTCTTTTTATTATGTTTAATAAAGCTTTTATTGTGTTTTTATTGTATATTTAAAGTTGAGCCATCACCTCTTCTTTCTTTTTTAAGTATTTATTTTTGGTATATTGAATTAAACCATCACTTCTTCTCTCTTTTCTTGAGTATTCTATTGTGTTTTAGGATTAGAGCCATCACTTCTTTTCTTTATTTTTAGTTTATTGTTTTACTTTAAAGTTTCTTTTAGTTTTCTTTCTTATTTTATTTTTTTTCTTATTTGCAAACACATTCCTTAACCCTCTTACATATTAAGTCAAGTAGTATAGCTTTACTAAAACCTTGTATTATTATATTACAATATAGTATATTTTTACCAATTTATCCTATATGATAAACAATAATAATAGTTTGGATAATATATATATTAACAATAGTTTTTCTTTTAATAATCTTTTTTCTAACAATCAGGATATAGAAGCTAGTGTTTGCTTTGTACCAACTTCCTATATACAGTACATTCACCAATACATCACTCTTTTCAAAAGTGCTGATCAAAATTCTGATATGTACAATCCTGACAGATTATAATCCCAACAAAAAAATCCTGACAGTCAAAAATCTTGACAATTAAAAATCTTAACAATCGGGTAAAAATCCCAAATATGAAATATGTTTAAAGTGAAGTAGACTCTTATAATTTAATTAACTTTAGAATTAGGTTACTTTAGATGAATGTTAAGCTTAGGTTAGCTATAGTTTATAATATATTTTTTTATCAAAATTTTTAATTGTTGGGATGTTGGGATTTTTTTATCAGGATTATAACCTGTCAAAATTTCGCTTGTCGAGATTTTGACCCAAACCTCTTTTCAAATATTATATTACAATTCATCTATTCTAAATCCACCTACCATGACTTCAACTACAACAAATATTCCATTTATGAGTTCATCATCAGCTAATAAAGATCCACTACTAGCTAATAAAGAGGATAACTTATCTTCTTTTGATTTTAAAAATCTGCCTAAGAAAACAATATCTAATAATCTTCAAGTGGAAGACTTACATATAATTAGCTGTTTAAATCAATTTAATTTTACATTATTTATACAGTTTAAAGTACTTTTTAAACAAATAAAACTACAAAAAAGAAGTATATAGAAAGTTTTATTAGGGTTGTTGGACTCTATTATTAAAAATAATCCAAATCCTTTTTTGTTTTAGAGAAGTTAGCAATAGCAACTTCTTAAAGATAGATAGAATTAGGTTATTACCATGCTAACTTCTCTAAAACAAAAAGGAATTTGGATTATTTTTAATAGTAGAGTCCTACAACCCTATTAAAACTTACTATATACTTCTTTTTTGTTTATTCTTCGTAGTTTAATTTTTTTTAAAAAATACTTTAAACTGTATAAATAATGTAAAATTAAATTGATTTAAACAGCCAATCATACGAAAGAGGTATGAACGCAAGGCCATATTTATTTTTACAAAAACTCAATTATATCATGATCCAGTAATCCAAATTGGATAGTTTTGATACCATTCGTTTCATTCGAAGAGACAAATCGAATGGTTCCAATTCGGATCACAAGATATTCGAAAAAAAAAATGATTTAATGAATTGCGGCAAATTACGCCGTAATTCCATTGAATCTTTTTTTGCGAATATCCTGTGACCCAGTGATCTGAATTGAATTATTTTGGTACAATTCGATTCATCTCATCGAGACGAATCGAATCGTATCAAAATCATTCAATTCGGATTACTGGGCCACGATATAATTGAGTTTTTGTAAAAATAAATACGCCCAATTATGGCGCTCACCTCTGTTAAATACGAGGTGTCTACTGCGGTTAGTATCATGCATAATGATACCGATATTTTTATATTTTTTGTCAAGAAATTCCAAATTAAGGAAGATCCGTCGGTAAATTTTAACGTGCTTCTACCAATGCAGTTTCAACACGAATTTCTTCATGCATCCGAGAATTCCATAAATAGATAAACTCATTTAGAGCACAAAAAAAGTCTTTCATCTCAATTTCATTTTATTCATCAATTCTTTAGAATATTATCAATTTTATATAAATGATGGCCGTATCGAAAGCTATCGTTAAATGTGTACTTTCCGGAGATACGCTAATTATTCGTGGTAAACCTACCGGAAACCAACCTCCACGAGAAAAGCAAATTAGTCTGGCTTATATCCAGGCCCCGAGGATGGGAAGCCAGAAAAAAGATGATGAAGTAAGAAGTTATTTAAATTCAGGTTTATCCAACCGAATTGATACTAAAGATGAAATATCATTTGTATCCAAAAGTAAAATTATATATAAAATGCATCATTGTTTTATTTAGCCTTTTGCATTCGAATCTCGGGAATTTCTTCGCTGTCAGATCGTGGGTAAAGAAATTACATTTCGCATAGACTATACTGTTCCTACTACCAATAGAGAATATGGGTCTGTGTTTTTGGGGAGTGAAAACATCACCCAATTGATTGTAAGAGAGGGATGGGCAAAAGTTAGAGAAGATGGACGCAAGAATAAGGATGATAGTAGGGGTGAAGAAGTGGATAATCTTGTTGCGCTGGAATCTGCTGCGCAAGCTGCAGGTAAAGGAATATGGGGAGATAAAGACAAGGTAGTGAAACGATTGCGTCATCTATTCATCTATTTATCACGTCCTTTGTCATCATAAATAATTTGTACGTTTATTTGACTTTTCAACATAGTATTCTCGCATTGTCAATTATATCTTACAAGAGGATGCTCGAACGTATTTGAGCAAATATAAAGGTTTAAAAATTGATGGTAAAATAATTTAAGTCTTTTTTTTTTTTTTTATCGCATATTAGTCGTATCATGAGTGAATATTGTTTAAATTTTATGAAGGCATTATTGAACAAGTACGAGATGGGTCTAGTCTTCGCGTCTTATTAATTCCTCCAGCACCTGCGCCCCAACAATATCTAAATATAAACATATCCGGGATAAAAGCCCCTACTGTACGGAAGGACATTCCAGATGTAGAAGATCTCGTGGAGCCTTATGGTGAAGAGGCGAAATATTTCGTTGAATCAAGATTGTTACAAAGGAATGTAAAGGTGATACTAGAGGGGCTGTCTGGAAACAACCAAGCCTTCAATGCAACCATTTTACATCCTGCAGGAAATATTGCAGAATCTCTTGTAGCTGTAGGGTTGGCCAAAGTTGCAGATTGGAGTATTACCGTAGTTACAGATGGTCCAATTAAATTGCGCGAAGCCGAAAAGTAAGCAATCAATGTCCTTTATACATCTGTATTTTCAAGTGACAGCAATTATTTTTAAATAAATCTTAGGAAAGCCAAAGAAAAGAGACTACGTCTTTGGCAAGACCACGTTGTCAGAAGTAAAGCTGGAGGCGACGATCATGAGTTTGAAGGCACTGTGCGTGTACTTCCTATATTCTTTATTGGCATGCTTTTTATTAAGTTACAATCACTCACATTTATGCGCACATTCCTCAAATAAAGGTCACACGTATAGTCTCTGGTGACACTCTTAATGTAAGAGTAAATCGCACTGGAGTTGAAAAAAAATTACAATTATCTAGCATTCGACAGCCAAGGTATTTTTTTTTTTTTTCGTTGATGCACTTCTCAAATTTTAAAATGATTATTTATATACTTTCTTTCTCACTTAAATAGGCCCAAGGATCCAAAGTTTCCAGAATATAATTTCGAAGCTAAAGAATTCTTAAGAAAGAAATTAATTGGTAAAGCTGTAAGTTATCATTTAAGCTTATAATGGCATACGATTTTTTAAATTAGTGTATTTACTTATTTGTATGATTAGGTCAGAGTAATTATTGACTATCAAAAGCCCGCTTCTGATGGATATGAAGCAAAGGAATGTGCCACGATTAAACTTGGGGAGTTGTAAGTTCTTATTTATAAGTGCAATCATTATTGCTTAAAAATAGAATAAATGTTGTTTTATATAGTAATCCAGCGGAGGCGCTTATCGAACGAGGGTTGGCACATATTATTAGACACAAAAAGGATGACGAAGATCGCTCTAGTTGTTATGACCAACTTTTAATGGCCGACCAAAAGTATGCAAGTATTGCTTGTTGTGTGTATTGTCATGTGACTGTAATCATAAAACGCAGTTATAAATAAATAAATAAAAAATAAATATAGGGCACAAACAAATAATAAAGGTATATATAGTACAAAGGAGCCTCCGGTTTATAAAATCAGTGACGCTTCAGAGGTATGTATAGATTTATGATTCCCTATATGTTTACTTGCTGAAAACATATCCATTTTAATAAATTTGATATTTTCGAATAGTCTTCATCGAGAGCTCGTCAATTTTTACATTCTTTGCAACGATATGGTCGCGTTCCCGGTGTTGTCGACTTTGTAAACAACGGATCAAGATTTAAGATTTATATCCCTAAAGAAAGTTATAAACTAACGTTTGTACTTAGTGGCATACGCTGTCCTCGACCTGGTCGTTCTCCTGCAGATAAATCTGAGCCATTTGCTGTTGAAGCACTTGAATTTGCGACACGTAAAGTATTACAACGCGATGTTGAGATAGAGGTGGAAAATGTTGATAAAGTAGGCGGATTTATAGGTTCATTATGGTTAAACAAGACAGAAAATTTTGCAATATTGCTACTTCAAGAGGGTCTTGCAACTATTCATTCATTCAGTGCTGATCAAAGCCCTTACTCTAGAGAACTATATGCTGCTGAGCAAATTGCCAAAGACGAGAAAAAAAATGTCGGTAATTTATGTAGATTGATCCAGTTTCCTTCTTTTTAATCACTCATATATTATATATTTTTCGTAGATTTGGGCAATACAAGATTCGGGTATTATAAGTGAAATAGATGACGCAGTAACTGCCGATGAAGCTGAAGCCCGCAAAGAATATGTGGATGTTGTAGTTTCAGAAATCATTTCAGGAGGGCATTTTTATGTTCAAGTTGTCAACGATAGCAACATTCGTAGTTTGGAAAAGATGATGTCTGAATTTGGATTTTATCATAAAAGCACTACCGCAATATCTAATGTTGATAAGATAAAAGCAGGACAAATAGTTAGTGCTCAATTTACTGAGGATGACCAATGGTAGATATATATATATTATGTTTTGTGGTTTCTTGTTTAAAATCATTATAACAAATGAATTTGTTTATTATAGGTATCGTGCTAGAATAAGAAAAAATATTCCAGAAAAAGAGAGCGTAGAAGTTGTATACATTGATTATGGAAACGTATGTTCAATTATATATACATATATATATTTTTTTTTTTGATTTGTTTTATAAATACACACATATTATGGCTTCTTTCAGTCAGAAACTATTCCGTTATCCCGAATTCGATCGATTCCTGATAATTTTAAGCAATTACCTCCACATGCATGCGAGGCAGTGCTCTCTTTTTTGAAAGTACCAGACCGCGAGGTAATATATACACACACATTAAATTAACTACATTCCATAGTGTCATTGTGTCATCGATTAACTTACCTATCTGTCAGGCTGACTATGGTGGCGAAGCCTACGAAAGACTACGAGACTTTGTTGGTTCCAAACAGCTTGTTGCAAATATCGATCATCGAGATAATAATGTACTCCATCTTACTTTATATGATCCAGCACAATCCGAATCGTCCGATGCGTCAATCAATGCTGAAATGGTTCGTGATGGATTAGCATTGGTAAATAATAAATTGGGATATAATAAAAAATATCTGAATATGGTTAAGAAATTGCTTGAGGTACAGGAACAGGCGAAAAAGGATAGGGTAAGTGTTCTTTTTCATGTTATCTCTGATGTGAACATCTTTTTTGATATGCTTAAATGATTTAGGTGGGAATGTTCGAATATGGTGACGTTACTGCTGATGATGACGAAAGAGATTATTAAATAATAACTTTATTTATCCAAAATTCAACATGTATCATATTAAGTTTTCAGTTTAGATATTTTTAGAATGTTTTTTTCCTTTTATTTATTATACACATCAAATTTTGGTCCATTTTTGTTAAACTATATCTTAATAAAAAAAATTATTTAATGGTTTGGATAATATCTATTTAATTACGCATTTTATTTGAAGTTTTCTTTAAGGTTCCATTTTTTATACCCCAAATTTATTATTCATACCCCCTGCAGGTTTAACTTTTTTAAACCTTTTAGCGAAGATATCTCAGTAATTACCAAGCCAAATTTGATGGTTTTTTTTCTTTGAATTCTATAGATTCATAGAATTCAAATAAAAAGAGTTCATTGAATTTGGCCAGTATTTACTGAGATATCTTCGCTCAAAGTTTAAAACAAAAAACATCTTTCAAAAACTACAAAATTTTCTTTAAATGTAGGCAAAGATATCTCAACAACTACCAAGCCAAATTTGATGAATTTTTTTTGTTTGAGTTTTATGAAACTATAGAATTCAAAAAAAAAATTATTAAATTTGACTTAATTTTTGCTGAGTTATCTTTGTTCAAAGTTTCAAAAAATTTAAAATGTTTATTAAAATAGAGTATATATGGAATTTAAACAAAAAAGGTTATTAAATTTGACTTGGTGGTTGTGGTTGTTAAGATATTTTCACTCAAAAGTTTAGAAAAAATTGTGATGCAGCTTTTGTTTTGATAGTTTTTTTTATAATTTTTTAAAGCTTTGAGTAAAGATAACTCAGTAATTATTAAGTCAAATTTAATAAAATTTTTTTTGAGTTCTATACAAAAAAATATTTATCAAATTGGTTTAGTAGTTGTTAAAATATCTTTGCTCAAAATTTAAAAAAAAATTTGCAGTATATTTTGATTTTTTTCAAATTTTGAGTAAAAATATTACAGTAATTACTAGTCAAATTTTTGAACTTTTTTTATTTAAATTTTATGAATTTATAGGATTAAGAAAAAGTTTATTAAATTTGGCTTAATTATTAAGATATTTTTACTCAAAGTTTAAAAAAAGTTAAATTAGTATAAAAGTATAACTAATAAATTTAGTATATAAAAAATAGAATTCTTTTATTCATTTTTTATATAATAGATATATTTTAATTTATAATAATAATAGAAAAAATCTAAACAGTGTACTATGCACTTTGTGCATTCTATAGCAAAATTGAGCTGGCAATAGATATTAGGTTAGGTTAAAATTAAAATTAGAGTTAAGTTTAGGGTTAAGGTAAGGTAAAATTTTGAAAGAAACATTTTTGCTTATATTACACAACAGGTATTACCTAGTCAAAATTTTGAGAAATTAGCGATTTTATAGAAATTTTATAGCAAGATACACTAAGTGCAAGGTGCACTTTATAGTTTTGTCCTAATAATATAAAAAAAATAAAATAAAAAAAATAAAATAATTTTCAACACACTCTTTACCAAAGATTAAGGATACCTACAAATCGAAACCTTCTATCAAACTCTACTTCTTGCACTTTACAAAATTTTTACCAAAAAGTGAGAAAAACAATATATCCTAACAAAAGATCAACACAGTAAAAGCTGCTAAAAAAAGAAAGACATGTATATGTATATATATCTACTTTGGGATAAATAGTGTCAGATAATGTGATAATATTTGAAATATTGCAGAAGACTTACTGACCTAGTTGGGATAGCAATCAAAAGTTTCAACCTTAGAGCTTTACTTTAAGACCAGATAGTTTTTAATATTTTTATATCCTAGATATAGATATAAATAACTAGTGTAGAGTTTAGTTTAGTTTATTTGTAGTACTATATAATTTTTACAATCTGGCACGGGTTTAATAGTGCTATTTTGGTTTTCTTTTTTTTGTTTTTTTTTGTTATTTGTTTGGTTTGGTTTTATTTGTTTAGGTGGACCAGAATTTGATGTTGAGGTATTTTTCTATTTTTTTTTTGCCCTTTGTATTTGTATCTGTGTTTTGTTTTATAAAAAGAAAAGCTAATTCTGATATGATATGTGGCACCAGCTCATGACCAAAGAATAACCTTAGTAAGTTAAGTGTTCAGAGAGAGGTTCAAAGTTTACTGAGGCCATTATATTTGGCAAAAGCATAGGTAAGCTGCTTTGTGGATGGATTAGTATAGCTATTATTAGAAAATACTGTATAAATTTTTTAATTTAGTTTAATCTTAAATAAAAAGTGGCAGGACAGCTGAATTATAAAAAATAAAAAATAAAATAATATAATAAGGTAAAACTTGTATTGATAATTAATAAAATTTGTATCAATGATTAATATATATGACACAGAGGGTTTAAATAGATAACTCTTAGTCAAGTTATAGGTATGATAAATAGTATAGTCCTTACAGTATAATACTGATATACAGACTACTTAAATAGACAACTAAAAGTTATATATATAGCCAGTTATACTCTCCAAATATGTGTATAGTATAGTGTATACCATACTTAAAAGTTAACAATAATTAAATAAAAGAATAGTGACCAAGAGGTCATCTTAAAGCCAAAAAAAAAATTTGTATCAATTAATAAAATTTAAGATATAGCATAAATTTTATCTTATTAAAATAAAACTATACTAAAACCTTAAATAAAGATATCATAATAATTATCTAATTAAATTTATTAAAATTTTTAAATAAATGTTTAAGTTATATTTTGCAATATACTTATATATCACATGTATATACAAATTATAAATTGTTAACTTAAAAATAAAAAAAGAACTTAGATATAGTATTTAGTTAAAATTAGAGTTAGATAAAGTTAGAATATAAAAGAGATTTTATAGTAAAAGTTCACAAAAAATTTTATTATTATAGTACAAAAGATAGTCTTATTTGTGAAATTTTGAGTTATAAGCAACTTTTGACAAAACAAATATTTGGTTTAAAATTTTTTGATTGTGCTATATTATACATAATCTTGAAATTTAATTAATTAGTCATTACAGTTGTCCTCCTCTATAATCATGTAGTTTGTTTTATATAAAAAAGATGTGATTATAAAATTTTGATAGTATTGTGATTATATTGTTATAGCGGTACTTTTAAAAGAAAGATTTAAGAAGAGCAAAAGAGAAAGTTTAAGCAGAAGAATTTATTTACTTGTTTTAAAGACAATAAAGATATTACAAAATCATTAGAACAAAGGAAATATTATAGAAATATTTAGAGAACAATATTTCAAAGAGTATTTAATAGTTTTTATTCATTATTTACTCTAATTATCTAGTTGTCTAACTATCTATTGTCTATTGTCTAATTGTCTATTGTCTGTTGGGGTAAGGGTGAAAAGTCTTTCTTTAAATAACTATTAGGTTGACATACAGTGGCACACAACTATGTGAAGTACACTGGCATATTCTGGCATACAACCATATATGTTGTACTAATATATACTAATCTATAATCATGTAGCAAGTGGCATATATTGGCATACAACCATGTGACAAGTGGTATATACTAGAATATAGTATAACTATATAGCAAGTAGTATATACTAGCATATGATATACAGTGGTATATAGTATATACTAGCATACGGTATATACTGACATATAGTATATACTGTTATATGAAACATACTAGCATACACTCTAATATTCTAACTATTCTAAATACAATATAATTTCTAATACAATACAATTTAACAAGAATTATATCTAAAATATAAACTATAAATTATAAAGTATTGTTTTACAAAACTATTAGTATAACATTATAAAGTTATTCTGTAACAATATAAAGTTTTTATTAATAAGTAAATTGCTAATAATTTTTCAAAAAATAATGTTTATAAAGAGGATATAATTATATAAAAGGTGACTGTAGAGGAGAATAACTATATAATGTGATATATAAGTATATCACAGGGCTGTGATACTTAATTAAGTTTAAAATTTTTTTTTTTTTAATTATTGGCAGCCTCACCAGTATCTTTATTAGATCAAAGCTAATATACAATTACACTATATACTATCTAAATTATAGATCCGACATCACTCAGCTTCCTCTGTAGGCACACAAGTATGGTCTGCCTCACCGGTTAAGGCTATTGTCCGTACCAGAGGGCTGCACCAAGCTAGCCAGTGAAACCATAGCAAGATGGTTTCGATTTAAAGAGATTTTTAACTAAACTAAATTGGCAATTTTTCCCTTCTAAC